AGCGCAAATACCTTTAAAGCAACACACATACTTCCAAGTGATATGAATGTTTAAACATTCAGAATAAGTGGAAGTAATTGTCAATTGTAACTTAATTTACAAAAATACAGATTACCGGCACTATTGGTCATAGAGATACAGGTGTTTTTATGGGATGACTAATGTTCCTATAACTTGTTTGGCTAACAAGTAAAAAAATTAGTAATTACTTTAAGAGTGGAATTTGTACTCGTAAACATTTATTAATCACTGTAATACATATTCAACAAGTGTGTGAATAGAGTTGTGCAATCGGATATATGAAGCAATAATTTAATGATCAAAGCCTTCAACCTTCAGTTAATAAATCTCAGATGATTAATCAGAGAATTGCGCGCCTGCAACATTACTTTGATATGATCAATCGCTTACTAACTACTACTACTACTACTACTAGCCTACCTAAACTAAAATAATTGCAGATTGAAATTATGTATACATTGATAAATGAATGCATGAATGAAAATGTTAGAGAAAAACAAACAAGAATGACGTATGTACGCAAAATAAAAAAGTGAAGCGTACCCTTGATCACGATACTAATAATAATAATAATAATATTAATAATAATAATAATAATAATAAAGTACTGTGGTAGAATCAATCGAAAAGTCGGCACATTATTATACAATTTAATGTGATTTAGAATTTGGAAGAAAATAAAAACCATTTTACCTTTTATTGGTAATACACATTTGTAAATTATATAGTGTGATGTGTAATATATACACATATCGACAAATTGTCAAGAGAATCAAACACGCACAGAAAGTATTCTAACCTAATAACAGGATAATTTAATCTTACAACAGCAAATGATATGATATAATTGGTATTAGACTAATGTGAAGAAGGCCAAGTACAAAAAATTAACAAAACATGCAACAGAACAGAACGTCAATTGATATGCTTGGAACTATGACGAGTTCATCTTACTCGGTAAATTGAACGAAGAGCAACGATACAGTGACACGATAGGCTATTCTAATCCGTTTTTCCCCTGCCCTGTTAACTTGATAACGCGTAGAGAGAATGTATTCTACTAGCGCCCAAAAAATATGAGGTTTTCTAAGCACACAAATCAAGCTTATTTCTACAATGATAGAAACGCCCTTGGTGAGAGCCATAAAATAGCGTACTAAAATAATCCATCAACCAATGACAGTCAAGGATTTTCCACGGAGGAAGTGTAAGCTGAAGATCAGCTGGCGCGAAAAATGTCAGAATAAAATTACAAAACTAGGTCCATTCTAAGTGAGTTCTGGCAATCTAACGTCCCCAACACAAAATGAATACAATCAACCAAAATGTATCATGAAAGTTGTTAACATTAGCATTACTGAGTAATATAATCAGTATATATGATGAATTACCGGTGGGACTTCAAGCAGAACTGATATGACTAGTGATACTATCGAGCTGTTGTTCAAACTGAAGCAAGTGAAGTGGAATACGAAAAAGCGATTTACCGGTTGAAATCAGGCCTTTGCAAGCACTGAAACATGCCGTTTTTAGTGTTGTGCACATTCATATAACACAGTTAGCAGGATTATGAACAAAAAATTGATTCAGAGACTAACAAATACGAAACTTGAATTAATGTAAGTGAACAAATTCGATAGAGATCATATGACAAAATATTTATTGTTGGGGGCGTTGGGTCCTTAGAACTTGCTCGATAAACGCTTTAATTTTGGATTTTACGTTTGCGAGCATGGGCTGATCAGTTGACTTTGTGATTTTATTTCCCACCAGGAAAATTCTTGGCTATGATTGGCTGCTGTGTATTTTAGTGTGGTGTTTTTGTGACTCCCAAGGACGTTACTATGATGTATAAATAAACGAGAGTTGTGTGCTCGATTGCATTGTGTTTGTAGAATGTATTTTCTACACTTATCGAGTCTTCTCTTTTGTCGTTTTCAGATTCAGGTAGCCTATCTGGACTCTGGTTCATTGTCTCGTTCACGTTTATTGACTAAGGTGAACCCGTAATAGCTTCAAGCGTACCTCCTAGTGACGAACCTAACATTTATGTCATCATTCAAAGTAAAAATGACTGACGAGCAAAAGCCCCCAACTCCGAAAAAAAAAGAAACAAGACTGAATGTAGCGCTTACTTTATTATGGTTGTATGGACGAGCTATTGCCTGACGATGCGGTGTATCAGTAATAGCAGTAGTAGTGGTAGTAAACGATCCAGGTAAACTATTATTATCCAAATAATCAATCTGTCGTAAAGTAAAAAGAAAAAAATTATATCAAAACAATCATTTTTTTAGAAGCATTGAATAGGAATACACACAACCAACGTTACCATATATATATATATATATATATATATATATATATATAGAAAGAAAATGAAGAAATCAGAAGATTGGAATCTCCAAAAACAAAAAGAGTGGGTGCATGTGCGCCATTGCTAACAGTTTTGAGCCATGTCGTTCAATGTCTCTAATCATCGGTTACTATCATCTCGCGGACCCTAACCAAGTAGTCTACACTTAACAACATGACTAAATTCACTTGTCAGTCACTTCATGGACCTGAGCCATGTTTTGGTCTGGCCATCCCTTGCTTTCTTCCAGCATTGCTCGTCAAGGTAGTCGGTGGTTGGGCATCCGTAACACATATCCCAACCACGTCAACTGATGAAGTCTGAATACTTCATCTATTGATTTGGCATCCCTAGAAAAAGGGAATAACGACAGCACAAAAAAATTTTGGAATATGCTAGAGTATTTTCTTTTAAAAAAAAGAAAACCCCAACCATGTCAGTCAATTTGTAGTTTAAAAGATAAGTTGAACAAATATTCATAATCTGATGCGAAATAAACAGTAAATAATATATCAACAAGTCATTCGGATTGAAGATAACATAATATGAAAAATGAAATCTTTCTTTCAATTACAGTTATGTAGATCAGTGATTTTACACATTGAAATCATTAATCAATCATTGTTAGACCACCATAAGGAAGTTGGAAGCACTGAACGGCCGTTTCGTCCTGGTATGGGACTACTCATCAGTGGCAGTGCGCATCCACAACTCCTGCTACTCACAGGTTTCGGTCTAGCGAGCTAGATTCATCAGAATTAGACATTAACACCGTTGGATCGCGCGCGAAACCGATAGTGAGTCATGGATGCGCACTGCCATAGATGAGTCTTATACCAACCAGGACGAAACGGCCGTCATTCAGTGCTTTCACGTTTCTAATGATGGTGATCTAACAATGATTGATTAATGATTTCAATGTGCATAAATGAAGTCGTTAGCATGTAAGCGTAAAAAAGATAATCAACACAAATGTGAACAGAAAGTCTTTAGGTATTTTATAAAACATTAAACAGTGTTGATTAGAAACATTTCTACGTCTTACTGGAGAAAGTTTTCATAGACAACATTAAATGAGTATGGAGATAATTGTAATCATATGATCGCCAATGATTCTTCAAAAAATATTATTATTATTATTATTACCATTGATTATACGAATATTCGTCAATATTTGAATGAGTCAGTCAGTTAGTCAGTTGCAACGTAGAACTTCGTACGTATGTACATAAGTTCATGTTGCCATACCACATTAACACACAGACGCAACTGTCAAATCAAATCCCATAGTGATAAAGATAGTAGAGGTGGTATTAATGGTAATGAAGAAAACTAGGGTTTGAAGATATTATTCAAGAAGTATAATTCAGTCAGATAAGGTTATAAAGACTAAGGTAGAGAAAGTGCTGACGAATCCAGAAGATTAGGATTTGAGAGAGCACAATATTGAAGCGAGTAGTTATAGACAGAAATTTGGCGCCCAGTATATAGAAGAGACTTGTATGAACTTCAAGATAATAATAATAATAATAATAATAATAATAATAATAATAATAATAATGTTGACTCTTAAATAAGTAGGATCACATGATGATGAATCAAGTGAGCTGTGTTAAAAAAGGTCACAATGTGAATTGGTGCAATATGTGTATATGTGAATTCTATTTTTTTTCTTGCTGTTGTTATCATTACCTTAATAGTGTTGAATATTCAATGAAATAAATAATGTTAAACACACACACACGGGTTTTTCTTGTTCATTTAAACAAAGTAAATAAAAGAAGTATAATTGGTAAATGGATGTTAAACAGTCAAATATTTCTATATTGTAAGTAAATTAAACAATTATTGTTGGGGATGTTAGATCCCCAGATTTTGCTTGATAAATGTCTTTATTATGGATTTTATTCATGGGCGGCTGATCAGTTAGTTGACCTTGAGATCATATTTCCCACTATGGAAAATCCTTGGTTATGATTGGTTGATGTTATTTTAGTGTGCTATTTTTGTGACTCTCCCAAGGACGTCTCTATAGAGTATAAATAAACGAGAGTTGTGTGCTTGATTACATTGTGCTTGTTGGTTGTTTGTAGAATACACTTTCTACGCTATATCAAGACTTCTCAATAGTTCCTTTGGATTAACGGATAAGAGTAGCCTACCTGGACGTTGGTTCATTGTCTCGTTCTTGTTTATCGACTAAGGTGAACCCGTAATAGTTTCAAGCATACTCAGTGACGAACTTAACAATTATCAATTACACGGTCATTTGACGAATGACCATATGGTTTTTACTTAACAACTCTAAAGTCAACTTATTTGGATAGATAGGTATTTAGTGTAAACTTAATCTGGTTTGTTAAACGTAAAAAAAGTATTCTTTGATAAAATTCTGATGTTGGTTATTATTATTATTACTATTATTATTAATAACCTGGAGAAGTGCATACAAGACAGATTATTGTCAGTCAAGTCAGTCAGTCAACAACAACAACATAGAACTTCGTACGTACATACATACGTACATCAGTGTTCAAGCTGTCATAACACACATTAGCACAGAGATGCAATTGTCAATTTAAATCCCATAGTAGTAGTAAATATAGTAAAGGTGTATTAGCTAGTAATCACAGAGATTAGAGTTCGACGATATTATTCAAGAAGTAGAATCTAGTGAAATAAACTTAAAAAGAAAAAGATAAATCTGATGAGGAATTTAGAAGGTTAGGATTTGCGGGAACACAAACAATGAGAATGCACCTGCGCTATCGCAAACGGTTTTAAGCTATAAAAGATAGATTGTTGAATGAAACATGTTGTAAATATTTAAAGAATTTCAAATATCATTCTTTACAAATAACATGAGTAATTGTGACAAAATAGCATTTCAATAAAATGACAAAGTAAAAAAAAATAAGTACAAACTAACAATATACCAACAATAATTGGAGTCACATGAATTCAACTAATCAGTTAATCAAGTATTATAATCTCTTATATGATAACACGGCAGATCAATCGATGAAGTGGTGAAACTTCATCAGTTGAGGTGGTTGGGACATGTGTTACGTATGCCTAACCACCGACTGCCTCGACGAACTTTGTTTTGTGGTGTAGGAGTAGGTTGGAAGAAAGTTAGGGGCGGACAGACAAAAACATGGCAGAAATCCATGAAGTCACCGACAAGTGAACTGAGTCATGTTGGTAGATGTGGGTTACCTGGTTGGGGTCTGCGAGACGAAAGTCACCAATGGTTAGAGACCTTGAAAGACATAGCTCAGAATCGTTTGCAATGACGCAAGTGCATCCATTCGTTGTGTTCTCTCAAATCCCAATCTTCTGGATTCGTCAGCACCTCTACCTTTGTCTTTCTAGCCTCATCTCACTGAATTATACTTCTTGAATAATATCTTCAAACCCTAGTCTTCTTCATTACCATTAATACCACCTCTACTATCTTTATCACTATGGGATTTGATTTGACATTTGCGTCTCTGTGCTAATGTGGTATGGCAACCTGAACTTATGTACATACGTACGAAGTTCTACGTTGCAACTGACTGACTGACTGACTATTTAATAACACATTTGAATAAAACCTTTTTTATAATGAATTCAGAAAAAGCAACAACATTTCTTATTGAATAGTCAGTTTAAAAATATCAATGAAATTACGGTGCTAATGAATGTGACATGACTTAGATTGATTAGAAGTTGGACATTAACAGTGTTGGATGTTAGTTAGCCAGCTCAATGATCTAGAGGTTAACAGTTCACGTGCGAGATCGAAGGTCCTTGGTTCGATTCCTGTGAGTAGCAAGAGTCATGGGTGTACACTGCTGAGGAGTCTCATACTAGGACGAAATGACCCTCCAGTGCTTCCAAGTTTCTAATGGTGGTGGTCTAACAATGTTTGATCGACGATTTCTATGTAAAATAATGTGACTACTGAGTAAGTGTCAAAAAAGATGCAGCATTTTCCAAAACGTTGATCAGAGTTAGGCGAATAAAGGATTTTTTGAACAGCCAATATGGAAGTTTTAAACTTCACATCTAAATTTGGGTTTGATTCGTTGAAACTTGCATCTTGAGTGACTATATCTCGAAGACAATGATTTTTCTATGACTGATTACACATTTCGCACTATATTTTCATCAGTCAGGATTGAAACAAACTACCCGAGTTGATTTTTAACTAGGTTATAAAATTGTTGTAGGTAGTGCTAACTTATGCTATGTTAGGTATTTACATTAAGTGTGACAGTAACTAGATATATACAGATGACCATACAAGACTGTAAGAGCAACAATGAGATTATTATTATTACTACTATTGAAGTACACAAGCCTCGTCAAAGTAACACATTGGTTATTACTACTATTGAAGTACACAAGCCTCGTCAAAGTAACACATTGGTGGACTAATGAACTGACTGACTAGTTGAAAATTGATTGTCTTCATCAATAATTCATCAGTTTTAATAGCAAGATTTAAATTATCATTTTGAAATGGAGTTAAAGATTACAGTTAAGATGAATTTTACTTGGAAAAGTATGTTCAACTAAAAAAACAAAACAAAGGGGGGGGGGGCTAATAAAAGTACAAGAGAAAGAGAATAACAATCATCACTTACCACAACAAGATCAGATGGTTCAAGGACAAGGCAATCATTACGGCGATAAAAATTTCCATTGGTACGAGTTCCAAAGCTGTAACAACATAGAACATAAACAGCCGAGAATATATATATATTGAGAGACATAAAATTAAGGTGTTTTGTTGTTGAATCTAATCTCCGCCCGTAGACCCTTCGGGGCTACTACCGGTCTTAAGCCCCGGCAAAGGAGGAGGGTTCTACTACCAGTCCCAAGCCCGGGTAAAGGAGGAGGGTTGAGATGTGGGTTGGCGACTCCGTCACGTAAAAAAACTTACTTCCCAAAATAGGAATTAACAAACTATCCTTGTGATAACAACTTGAAATTCATTACTGATTATTTCTGATATATTTAAATATTATTTTTGGAATTCAGATATTTCATCCATCGTGAAAGCAACGTAAATGCCACGTAATGGCACTTGACTAAACTTGAAATATGTATGATTTTTTTCATGATGAATACAACCTAGGCATTTGAAATTTTTATATATTGAAGTGTAGAAGAATGTTGCGATAATTAAACCAATACTGTTTAAGTGGAAACAGTGTAAATACACTGAAGAGAATTAAATACAATAGTATTTGAGAATACACCCCAAGTAATCACCTAAATATTTTCCTGTAAATACTAATCAAGATAATGCCACTTCAAGACCAAACTATGCGAATGGCTTAAATAAACGAAAATTGACTTCAACAATAATCTACCAAATCATAGATCTTGATATACACCTTTGTTGGGGACGTTAGATACCCAGAATTCACTTAGAAAGGTCCTAGTTTTGTAATTTTATTTTGAAATTTTGAATCTCCCTATTTTCGCGCCAGTTGACTTTTGGCTCACATTTTCCCCTAGAAAAATCTTTGACTGGATTATCTCAGTACGCTATTTTTTGGCTCTCACAAGGGCGTCTCTATCATTGTTTAAATAAACTTGATTTGTGTGCTTAGCAACCTCGTATTTTCTGGATGCTTGTAGAATACATTCGCTCTACTCCTTATCAAGACTTCTTGATCCAGTTAGCCGAGGCTGGGACAAACAGATAAGAATAGCCTATCGTGTCAATGAGTCATTGCTCTTCGTTCCGTTTACCGAGTAAGGTGAACTCGTAATAGCATTCAAGCATATCACATCTGAAGCGGCATCAATTGAAGCTGAAGTTGAATTGATTACATTTACACTAGATGTTGTGAAAATATTCTAGTTAGAATCAGCTGATAATGGAATAAACAAGTGACTACTAAACACAATTAATCGTGATATTGTTAGGATATTCATCAAATATCCAAAAAGTACTATTTTTGGAAGTATAATCCTATTGGTCAAAAATATGGTCGTTTTAACTGTCAAAGTCAAATACTTAAATGTTGTCTCTTATTGGTCATCTGGACTGTCAATGTCATTTCAAACGTTCTTTCCTATTGGTCGTCCTAAACTGTCAATGTCACAGACTTTGATGCTCTTTCCTATTCGACTTAAATGTATAAACACGCACTATCTGTAAGACTTCATGTTTCCCGTTCCTTCCTGCCTACCTCTCTTCTGTACTCGACCTAATAAACAACTACATCCAACGGTGTTGCGTTCTGATATATAGGAGATTTGGGAATAGTATTTGGGTCGTATTGGAATATTTCAATTCGGACGTTGGTAGGATTTGAATAGCTACGTAGCAGCATTATAACAGATTTTTGAAACCATGAATCGATCAATGTTAGACCACCATTAGAAACCTGGAAGCACTGGACGGCCGTTTCGTCCTGGTATGGGACTCCTCGGCAGTGCGCATCCACGACTCATGCATCCCGCAGGATTCGAACCCAGGACCTTCGGTATTGTGCGCGAACGCCCTAACCGTTAGACAGATATCAAAATCATGTATACATGCTCGCTGATCATTTGATATTAGTAACAAAGATTATGATATTTAGTTTTGAGTCATGACTGAAATTCATTAAACCAAGTTGTAGGATGGTCACAAGTTCAAGTAATACAGGATTTTAATGTACTTTATAGGATATGAACTTTTTATAACTTTATGATCAAATTAGTGTATGTACGTACATGTTCAGTCACGTGGGAGATTAATTGAAAACAAAGTAACTTAATGGTAATGGCTTTGACTGTAAAAGAGGTTTAAATCTCACGAGGTATATAGCAGTTTCCTAAATATTCCACATAAACTAACTAGCATGCAACTAGCTTGTATGGCTTTTTCAGTGGATTACCGAATTCATACAAAAGGCAGTAATAGTGGTGAAGTACATAAAAATAGAAGACCATGATACCAACAATTGATTACACAACATTAAATCAAATCGAATTTTAATTTTCTTACAAATTACTCACCATGCTCGAGGCAAAAACATAGAGCTTTCAATTAATACCGATCCACTTAATAAAATAAACCAAGAATCACACCATTCACCAGTGTGATACAATAACACATCGCCTGGAACACGACGATGACGTGCATATCGACTGATTGAACGTAATTCAGCATCACGATATGTTGATGATGGGCCAGGAATATTTAAACCTTCAATTGTACGTAGATAACTAAATATAGCGGCATTCTCCTAAAATTATATCAGAACATAAATTTGATGGGGGAATAATTCACAATTCCATATAAACAAAATTAAAAATTTTTTATCACGCTTTACCGAAAATTTCATCAACTAAGAGTTTAATAGTCTTCAATTTCGGAAAAAAAATCAACAATTAGAGAGAGAAATAATTTTTATGGGTCATCATAACCGTTTCTATTTGATTGAAAAGTTGGAATTGTAGATAATCTATTTGGTAAAGTAGGACATGACATGGAATTACAAGTGATTTTATAAGTGAAACCAACTAGGAACTACGATTTGAAAAAAATAATAGTTACTAGTATTTCTAAATTGTTGGAATTGTCAAAAAGTGTAAATTGCTGTGGAACTTAACATAAGTACAAGGATATATTGAAAAATATTAGTACACTAAGTTTGGTGTACACCAGTAACACTTGGCTTTTTATTTCTTTTTGAATAAATTACAATGAAACCAGCTCCTGAACTTAAAATAGACTTCATATAGGGAAACGACATTTTTTGTGAGTGATATTACTAAAAAAGTCAACTCCAAGTAGTGTAATCATCATCATGATCGTTTAAATTTAGATTATATTTTCAGGACGTGTAACAATGAATGAAAGAAATAAGGTACCCGATTTCGACCAGTGATTTATAGAAATTACATAATGTGAATGTACAATCAAAGCTGATGAAACAGGAATAACAATGTAGCTCGTATTACGCATTTGGAATATTGAATAGGCTGATCTAGTCCTTTTAAAAGCAACCACTGTGGACAGAAGATTTCGAAAGATGCTGGAAGTTTCCCATGCAATAAATATACATATATACATAGAAAATCAAGGGTTCGTGTCCCAATGTGGGTGTGAATCTCTGGCCCCTAAATTATTGGGTATAGCTGAGAATGAGAAGGGTCTGCCCTCCTTCTCCAAACGTGCTCACATAGCCATTGCCAAGGGATTCTAAATCACTGCCTTCCCTCAGCGGCAGTGTTTTTTACGAAATTGAAAGAGAAACAAACGTCTGGTGCTTAAACCGAGTTGGTGGTTACAAAGGATACATTGAGGGGTGGTGGAAAACCCTCATTTCGAACGAATGATGCACATAGGCTCCGCAATCCACAAGGAACAAATGGAGTATGAACCTACTGTTGGTCACGGGCTACCGCAAAACTGCGTTTCCTAATGTCGCTCCACTGCCTTATGGATCAGAACTATTGGCCAAAGGTTTGGAGAGTGGTGCCGTGAGGAAAACCATCTGCTTCATTTTGAGCACCTGAACAGAAATCCAAGATCGTACAAAAATTCAATGATTTATATGGAGCATATCTATTTTGGTGCCACTTAGTATCAGTGTTCATGTTTAAATTTTAAAAAATACATTGATATACAATCAATCTACATAACTTTGGATAATTGAAGTCTTTCAGCTTATCCAAAAGTTTTAAATCTGAAAGTCTTTTGATGCAATATAGTGGAAGTTTTGGATGAGTTTAAGACAGGGTGGGAAAAACGAGTAATAACAGAATAAAAACAACTATTTCATTCTGCGATATATTCATATAAATCCACTAGAAACAGCAAGCGCACAAATTTGATCAATATTTTCTTAAGTTACAAGTCAGTAACAGTTGTACATAACAAGTTAGTGGATACGAAGTACCACTGTTGATTTTTAATCCATTTTTCGTTATTTACGATTATACTAATTGACATTAATAGTATCATCAGACAAAATTTTTCAAAAAAGAGATGAATATGTAAGGTAAGAATCTTACTTGGGGCGATCTATGAGCTGGTGCAATAGCCAGCAAACGAATAAAAGCCGCATCTTCCTCATCCATGATCACCTATGAGAAAAATAACACAAATATTAAGGAAGTTGATTAAGTCAGTCAGTCAGTCAGATGCAAAGTAGAACTTCGTACGTACATACATCAGTTCATGTTGCCATACCACATCAGCACACAGAGAAGTAATTGTCAATTCAAATCCAATAGTACAAGAGGTAGTAAGGAAATTAGAAGTAATCGGAGAGGTTAGGACTAGAAGATATTATTCAAGAAGTATGATCCAATGAGATAAGTTTAGAAAGTCAAAACTAGAGGTGTTGAAGAATCCAGAAGATTAGGATTTGAGAGAACACAAAGAATAAATGCACCGGCGCCATTACGAACGATTTTGAGCCATGTCATTCAAGGTCTCTAACCATCGATTATTATCATCTCGCGGACCCCAACCAGGTAGTCGACAATTACCGACATGGCTCAGTCCACTAGTCAATGACTTCATCGATTTCTGCCATGTTTTGGTCTGGCCGCCCCTAGCTTTCTTCCAACCTACTCCTACACTACAAAACAAAGTTCGTCGAGGCAGTCGGTGGTTCGGCATACGCAAGTTGATTAAAGACAAGAATACACATGAGATTACTGATGTTACCTAAAAACTATTATATTCAACTACATTTACTGATTATTCTTATTCAGTAAGACAGCAAGAATATTAAACTCCTAGATAAACAAACTACTAAAAACTGAACAGTAATTAAATTTAATGATTTATTCCATACTCATAAATATAAATGCAACTGGGTACCAGAATAAGTATGAACCATACAAATAAGATAAAATTTTAGAAATAAAGATCATGATCAAAAATTAAGTGAATAGGTTTAGTATATAAAAGGAGGGACAATCTAGTCAAATTAGCATTGGGTTATATTGTAAGTCATATCTGATAACTCAAGTACAGATAATCAAACACAATTGTGATTTTTCATTATAGAGCTGTGGAGATTGTTGTTTTTACATTGTAGTCGTGAATAAATCATTGTTAGACCACCATTAGAAATCTGGAATGTAGGCAGTAACTATCGAAGACAATCGGTGAGGTTGTTCAGCAACTCGGATCGATTAAAATTTAGCATACCGGCCCAGTGGCCGACAGGTGAAGCGTCTATGCGCAAGACCGAAGGTCCTGGGTTCGATTTTCGCGTACTGGGGTCGTAGATGTGAACGGTTGAAGAGTTCCGTACTGGAACAAAACATCCGTCCAGTGCTGTCATGTTTCGAACGGCTGCCTAACAATGAGTTATTCACGATCAAAATGTAAAAAAGATTTGCATCGGCATTGGTTGGAAATCAGTACAACTAGGGTAATGTAACAGAGTAGAGGATACATGACGAATGTAACAAATAATTATGTTCCTTTATGCACTTTGATCGATAAGTTTCGTGCTAAAACCCAAAAATCTATTCAGTGTGCCAGTGTCATTTTTACCTTAAATTTTGAAAGTAGGAGGGGGTAACTGTTAAGAAAGGTTCCTCAACTTTGGTGCAGATACTAGAGTACTTTGAAATGAAAATTACCTGATCCATCTGCTAGAAACAAGACGTGTGACCTGACAATTGTGGAATGTAGTCAAGGGTGGTTAGTACCGTAAAAAGGAAGGTTTGGAGCAAGATTAAGAACAGATAACTCCCAACTGCTACTGAAATTACCAATGGAATGGAACTGATATAATCTACGAGGTCGATACTTTCCTAGAGAAATCCGTGTTTTATTAGATAAGCATATAAGAGGGTCAAATTTTATAAAATATAAATGGCAGATAGCCGTTAATATGTGACAGAAAGCATAGAAATACTAAGCCACAAGGTTTGGACGGTATGAATAAAGATTAACTAATGTCTACACAATATTTGACAAGAGAATAGGTGTAAAATTAGTGTACTAACAATGCGTATGGTGGAAATAAATTCAAAAAGTCTTTTTCAGTATATCATTTAAAAACTGAGAGGGTAAGGTAGTAGGTTAAATGGTGCTTGTAGAGTCCGAAGCGATGTGAGATAAATAAGTTACCCTGGATTTTAGACACTACATATTAGCCATAAGGAAATAATTGCGAAGCATGTGTTATATAACAGCCATCAGAAATTAGCATCAGTTTATTTTTACTATGTGATTATGATTTACCTTTCGTTAGCTAACACAGCGATAATCCTAATCTTCAACTGAGCTGCATATGGATACACCCAAACCAAAGAGTGCGCGGCATTTCGGTAGACAGTCAAGAGACAATACAAACTACACTCGCAGTCTAATTAGTACTAACGAGTTATCTTTTCTGACAGCAATTACCTTTGTTATGTTCCACAGGAATCCAAGATGCAAAAACATTAGTTGATATAAGGATCCAATGTCCGTTTTTCATGAGTTTGTAGTAAATCCACTTTTATGAAGAGGACGCAATTGGTTTCAGCATAATTTTCAGCATTATAACCGCACGCGCAAAATTTCTGTTTTTGTTGCTGCCATTTTGGCTCCACTGTCTCTGTGATTACGCCCTTCTTTTCTGGCATGATTTCGGTATTCTTTCGGTACCGCGAAATCTCCAGCAAATATATTCTTTGCTATTGAGTAACTCTTCTTCTCAAAGACGGGCTGATAATCTCTGTAATGGTTGTCATATTCAATCTCTAGTTGATCGCCACTAAAAGTTCATATGAGCTGACTGACTTCTCAGTGCCCACTTATTTTGTCTCTCACGATTACAGATATTCCACTAGTTATATTCCACTAGTTCTTTTTCTTTTGTTAGTTACTGATCAATTTGCATGTCGTCCACTTCCACTTCATTCATTTGTCTCATGACAATAGTATTTCTGGATACCTGCTGCAGCCATATTACCAAGCACGAGGTTTTTCGGCTGTAGTTTAGAGAATACGGAAGATAAAATTTTCATGTTAAGGACATGATAGTCTCAAGAACAGGATGACGAAATAATTAGGTCCACCAACCGGTTATACAGAAAGTATGAAGAGGCTAAAATAGTTGAATAAAATAAAGAATGGAAATAAAAATCGGAGCGATAGGACCGATTTAAGGACATGTGATAATGATAACAGCAAAAAAGTCACAAGACTTGCATCAGGCAAAACTAGAAGTGGTGATCCATATGTGTACATCTTCTACAGGTATCCCCTTGAAGCTATGATCCTCTTCACTAGCTGACAGCGTCTGAAACTAATAAGGATTAACAACTCTTGTCCACACAATATTTTATCCAATTTATCGACAATTTCATCAAAACTCAACTCCTTTGAATGTTTTGGATGGACATAAGTTTAAATTTAAAATCATCTTGTGAACCACATTTGTAGCAAAAGTATTCTTTCTGTTACCATTTCTTTACATTCCACAGAAAGAGGATCAATTCTAGAGAACCTTGCTGCAAACATATGGCCGCTTTCAGCATCAAAAATGAATTCTGGAACCACGATATGTGATGCCTATAATCCTTTTTGTTCTGCGAAGGATTCAGATTGAATTAAAAATGTAGACAATAGCGCTTCAAGCATCTGTTCTTAATAGTAAAAACATATTTATTATCAGTTTGATTTTCTGTGGGGCCTCTGGCACTTCTAATGCTAACTTTTTTGTTGTCTCAGTAATTGTGCATAGTGGACAGACCTAATAATAATATATATTCATTCTCAAATAACAGCACATCACAAGAGGAATGCCGGTTTGCTGGCTAGATCAAATTGTTGCAAATATTTTCACATTTACTGTAAAAGTTAGCGAAGTTAGATTAGAAATAAGTTTGTTTCTGACAACACATTTTCACCATGTCACTGACAGGAACAGTTTGATATAGCCACATTTTCAATAAGTGGGTAGAAATAAGAAAGGTACACAGTAGAGTTCTTGGGTGGTTTGCATAATCCAGAAGTGGATTTGTTGAGAAGCGTCAACTGAAAAGCGCTTAATGCGAGCTGTGACCTGAACGTGCTCATACAGAAAGGGCGTTCTGCGTGGAGGCACCATGGATGTATAGTAAGTCGAAATAAATATATTTCTTCGCGGGATTACTGATGTGAATCCCGATAATCCAGAAGTCAAGGAAAAGACAATTCTGGATGAAGAAGTATATTTATCGATAGCCTCGTGATATCGAAAGAACAACGAGACTAGGGTATTCAAGCAGCTAACAAGGAGCGAGGAGTAGAATGGAGTGGGAATAATACTCGACGCGTGAGAGATGGTCTTTAGTACAGACAAACAAAAGGGAGTACAATATAACAATTATTGTCAGAATTAGGCACAATAATAAATGTTTATATTTCAGCAATCGTGTTCTCTTCGTAAAAGTGTACCCCTGTATTAGCCTCTTCGATAGAAAGGGTTTACACTTCCGATACGTAGCGGAGGGGGGACTGGTCGGCTAACGAGCGATTGTAGGTCGGAAGGGTTGACTGACAGGAAGCGACCAATAAAGCTCGAGTTGTCTTGGAGTCTTTTACGTTGAACTGTAACGGTAGTAACGTGTCAAGTTTAGTGCTCGGGATGGTATGCCACACCAGCGTGGCTGATATCCAGAGTCTGAAGATTGCGTTCGTAAGGGTTCGTACCAGAAAAAGCTGCAGAACGGACGGAAGCAGATTGATTGAGGGAGCCAGAAAAGACCAGAATGATCGAGTTCGAAAACATATATGTACAAGAACATTCGAAGCAAAAACGTCGATTGAGTGCATTGACAAAAGCTTGGGTGATCAGGCCAGCTTTCACCAAGATTGTCTGAAGTCGACGGTACCAACAGGGCGATGGTCGCAGACATGGGTTCAGGATATAAAACGAAAGAAAAAGAGAAACGTGTGCATACATTTAGTATGGGGATGTAGAATTTATTTCGCAGGCGGCTGTCCTAATCGCGTCCAATAGAAACACACCGGTACGATTCTCCTAGATACCCGTCCCAGCCAAATCAGAAAGCCGAAAATTCTAGGAGAAAACCGTCTCTATTGTTATAAAAAATGGAAATACAGAGACTTACGATGTTTA